GATTTGCCCTCATGATTTTCCCTCCTTTCCCTCACCCTTCTCGCTGCTCCCTCCCAGCATGAGCTCTCTGCCAAGGCCGTGGCCGCTCTGTCCTCCCTGTACGGCACCAGCTACACGTACGGGAGCATCATCACCACCCTCTGTGAGTGCCTCCCCAAAAATCGCCCCAAAACCCACCCCAAACCCACCCCAAACCCACCCCAAACCCACCCCAAACCCACCCAAAGCCCATCCCTCACACCACGGCCAGGATGAAACATCCCATAAAATCCCCTCCCGTCATTTCCTTCAGACGAAGCGAGCGGAGCAACCGTCGACTGGACCTACAACCAGGGCATCAAATATTCCTTCACCTTCGAGCTGCGGGACACGGGATATTACGGGTTCCTGCTTCCCGCCAAACAGATCGTTCCGACGGCCGAGGAGACCTGGCTGGCCCTCAAGGTCATCATGGAGCACGCCCGGGACAACATCTACTGAGCGGGATCGGCAGCTGGAGAGGGGGGAAGAACCCGATAAATAAATGGATGAGAAAAAGAAAAGCTTTTTCGATCTTGTTTTCCCTTTTTCCCAAGTCGGGTGGAAAAACCCTTTCGGAGATGGATCCGGTGTTCCCGCATGTGCCAACGCAAACAGGGCATGCTGGGCTGAAAAGGGCATGAAAAGGGCATGAAAAGGGCATGAAAAGGGCATGAAAAGGGCATGAAAAGGGCATGAAAAGGGCATGAAAAGGGCATGAAAAGGGCATGAAAATAGCAGGGATAAAAGGAAGGAAGGGGTTTTCCCTCTGCTCTGGCACAGGAGGGGAGGGGAAAAGGGTTGGTTTGGCACTGGGCAGCTGGAGCGGCTCCGGGATATGAGGCAATGGATCAACGGGATTTATGGGGCTCCAAGGCTGGAGAGGGATTGGGGATGAGGGATGGAGGGACAGGACACAGGGAATGGCCTCCCAGTGCCAGAGGGCAGGGATAGGTGGGATAATGGGAAGGAATTGCTGGCTGGGAGGGTGGGGAGGGGCTGGAATGGATTTCCCAGAGAAGCTGTGGCTGCCCCTGGATCTCTGGAAGTGTCAAAGGGCCAGGCTGGAGCAACCTGGGATAGTGGAAGGTGTCCCTGGGTGGAACTGGACGAGTTTTAAGTCCCTTCCCATCCAAACTATTCCATGATCCCTCCTCAGCCCCTGTAATCCCCAGGGAAGGGGAGCCCAGTCCCTGCCCACTCCCACCTTTTCCAGATTTTCCAAAGCTCTCAAAGCTCAAACTGGGGAAAAAAAAACCAACACCAAAACCACTCAACCTTCTGGTGTCATTTACATTTAATTAAATTAAACAATTAAACCTCGCAGCATTTACAGAGCTTGACTCTCCACCAAACAGCACCAAGAGTCCAAACACACCCAAATCCACCAAGACAGCAGGAAAGTCCATCAGTCCTTCCTTGGATTCCTGGATTTGGGAGATAGCAAACAGCTCAGACCAGTTTTGTCCGTTCCACAGGAGGAGGTTGTCACGGAACCAGGGATTCTGGATCAGTGTCTATCCAGAGATGGGCAGCAAAACCAGGATTTCAGCCAACACAGTGACAATTCCAAGAGCTCCTGGAGGTGACAGAGCTGCTCCCACCCCACAGGGCCCTCTGTGTTGTACCAATCCCTGGATTTCAAGCACTCAACAAATCAGGGAATCGTTTGGGTTGGAAAAGTCCTCTGAGATCATCGAGTCCAACCATTCCCAGCACTGCCAAGGCCACCACAAATCCACATCCCCCGGCGCCCACATCCACAGGGATTTTAAATCCTTCCAGGCACGAGGACTCCACCACTGCCCTGGGCACCCTTTCCATGATGGAACTTTCCCAGCTATCCAACCTGAACCTCCCCTGGCACAACTTGAGGCCGTTCCCTCTTGTCCTGGGGCTCCCTTGGATCTCCCCTTCCCTGTGCACATCCAGCTCCGTGGAGAGGGGGGATCATTCTCCTGAATTACGCAGGAGATGCTGCTTTATTCCATGTTTTCCACCACAATATAAAAATGGAGCTGCTGCACAAGTCATATCCCAACTTCCAAAGCTAAATGGGATATTTCTGTGGTGCTTCAACACCAAATTCCTTCAGAAGCATCATTTAGCTTTGATTTATTTATTTTACTTTCCCTATGGATGATCCTGACACAGAATCCCAATTTTGCGTGGATCTACTCCCTCTTTCCCAGAGAAGCCCAAGGATATGGCTCTTAACAAACTAAAACTTCCATTCCTGGAGTCAGGAATCGTCTGACTGAACACTCAGAGACACAACAATCATCATAAAAGCGCTCAGGGGATGTTGAGCCTTAACTTTCCAAACTGGGAATTCTGTGCAATTCCTCCCCCTTTGCCCTTTCACCAGAATTATCCCCAAATCACCAGCGAATTCTGGAGAGGGTTTGAACATCTTCTGCTTCAAAAAGAGGGGGAAGAAAGCACTGAAATCCAAAAAACCACACAAAACCCCCACGATAATCAAAGCTGGACCAGGCTCAGCAAGGCTGTAAGTCAAGACTAAAGAGCAGGTCTTTTCTAAGCCTCACTCAGGCAGCTCTGCTTTGTCACCAGGGAAAACCAGATGATTCCCAGAAGGAAAACCGTGCCTCTCATTTTCCAGGAAACCTTCACCCTGTTCAGTTCCACATTCCAGGTCCCTGCTGGGATTTAGGGATCCCGGTTAAACAGCAGCAGGAAATTTCCCCTTGAGCCACCAAAACCTCAAAAGAAGCTCCTAAAAAACCTCTGGGAAAGGTGTAACTGGGAGTAAGCTTCCAGAAAAAGACGCAACAGTTCCAAGTGTCCAGGAGCAAACACGACCCTCAGGTCCCAGCACCACCTTGGGCCGATTTCCAAAACCACCTTTATTAGAAATACTTCTGTTCATCATCATAATTTAATTAAAATACCCCCCAAAAAAACCCTTTTTAAGGATCTTTTCTCCATTTTGGCAACTTGCTGAGCGTCTCTGTCTCTTGTTTGTTCTCCCAGGACAGTTCTGGCCCCTTCACCTCCGTGTGTGTCCACAGGTGGCTCCAGAGAATGTCACGGATGCAAATTCCATCCCCTGGACTAAAAGCTTGGTGGAAGTTCCTACTGGTCCCAGACTTCACTACCAGTTTGCTCCCAACCCTACAAACCTGTGGGATGACATTCCTGCCTCCAGGAAACCCCATTCCAGCTCTCCAAGCCTGACCCGAGCTGCCTTTTCCACACCTCCGGCTGCTTTTCCCTGCGGATTCCTAAAACCACAAAGGGGCTGCACTGCTCAGGGTATTCCCAAAACCTGGATAATCCTTTATTCGGTGGGAGGAGACCCCACCGGTTATTTCCAGGGCCTGTTCTGGAGGCTGGTCCTGCTGAGCGTGCGGGAGCTGAGGGATCCCGCGTTGGAGCCGTGGAGGTTGGGGCTGCTCCTCATGGACGTGGGCTTGGAATCCCGGCTGGAAATGCCACGGCTCAGGCGGCCTGGGGGGGAAAAACAACCCACGGTCACACCACTGGTTGCCCTGGGAAGGAGCTGTGGACACTCCATCCTGGAAGTGTCCTAGGCCAGGATGGGCAGTTGGAGCAACCCGGGACAGCGGAAGGTTTGGGGTTGGAACCGGACAATCTTTAAGGTCCCTTCCCACCCAACCCATTCCATGATCTTACTGGCAGTGTCCAAAGGAATGTGCTCCTCCTCCAGGTAGTACTTCAGCTTCTGGAGATCATCTGCAGAGAACCTCCACTTGTTCTCAGCCCGTGTGGGAGGGACTCTGGGAGAGGTTTTCCTTCGGGTGGATCCCGGGGGAGCTGGGACCTGGCAGGACAGCGGGAGCGTGCCCGTGATCAATCCCTCTGGGATCTTCTGTGCAAGGACCTTCAGGCCTGCAGGGACACAGATCCACGTTAGCCCAGCTGTGGTGGGATCTACCAAGCACAAGGGAAACACCGGATGGAGCTGAAGATCCGAGAAGTTCAGATGGAGAAAAGTGGGCAGGAGGGGAGGTGGGAATTCTGTCCCTCTGGGGAACAGCACAAGGACGTGGAGCTGCTGGAGAGAGTCCAGAGGAGGCCACAGAGTTGCTCCCAGGGCTGGATTCCCTCTGCTCTGGAGCCAGGCTGGGAGAGCTGGGGGGGTTCCCCTGGAGAAGGCTCCAGGGAGAGCTGAGAGCCCCTGGCAGGGCCTAAAGGGGCTCCAGGAGAGCTGGAGAGGGACTGGGGACAAGGCAGGGAGGGACAGGACACAGGGAATGGCTTCCCAGTGCCAGAGGGCAGGGTTAGGTGGGATATTGGGAAGGAATTGCTGGCTGGAAGGATGGGGAGTGGCTGGAATGGATTTCCCAGAGTATCTGTGGCTGCCCCTGGATCCCTGGAAGTGTCCAAGGCCAGGCTGGATGGGGCTTGGAGCAACCTGGGCTAGTGGGAGGTGTCCCTGCCCATGGAACTGGATGATCCTTCAGCTCTCTTCCAACCCAAACCACTCTGTGATTCCAGCTTTTTCCAACCTCCAGCTCACACAACCCTTGCTCTCCCCTCTGTTTCCCCAGGAGCCCTCGGGGGGCTCTTCACACCCCCAGGAGCCCTCGGGGGGCTCTTCCCACTCCCAGGAGCCCTCAGGAAGCTCTTCCCACTCCCAGGAGCCCTCAAGGAGCTCTTCCCACTCCCAGGAGCCCTCAAGGAGCTCTTCCCACTCCCAGGAGCCCTCACGGAGCTCTTCCCACCCCCAGGAGCCCTCGGGGGGATCTTCCCACCCCCAGGAGCCCTCAAGGAGCTCTTCCCATGCCCAGGAACCCTCAGGAAGCTCTTCCCACGTCCAGGAGCCCTCAAAGAGCTCTTCCCACTCCCAGGAGCTCTCTGGGAGCTCTTCTCATGCCCAGGAGATCTCTGGGAGCTCTTCCCATTTCCAGGAGCTCTTGAGGAGCTCTTCCCACCCCCAGGGGATGTCTGGGAGCTGTTCCCAGGCCACTCACCCCCGGAGAGCATGAAGAGGTTCTCGAAGCCCCTCTCGCACATGGTGGTGGCCGCCTGGCTGGCCAAGCGCTCGTCGTTGTCGTACACGATGATGATCTTCCCGTGGGCGTTTTTCTGGGAATGGCTAAGGAAGGAGGCACTGCTGGACTCGAGGGGCACAGTAACACGTTTTGGGAAGTAAAAAAAAAAAAAAAAAAAAGGGGACCAAAAAATGGGATTTGGGACTGAGGGACTCCACGACTTGCAAACGTCGTTCGTCATTCCTGCCTGAGGAAGGATGGAGGAGGAATTCAGGCTTTTCCTGATGAATTCCCAGTGGCTGGGACTTGAATCCCCACAGGATCCAGTGTTTGGAGGTTGGCTGGTGACAGGGAACAGCAAGAAGCACCTTTGTTTACAACCCCCCCTCCCAACAGCCAGCAACTGGGAATGATCAGCCTAATCCAGCCTCCTAATCCTCTTTTTCTGCCCTCAATCCCCATCAAGGTGCTGACAGGAAGCCAAAGGATTTGATGGATCTATCCCTGCAGCAACAGGAGAGCGGTGCCCACGGAGGGCTTTGCCTTCCAGCAGCCCAAATCCCAAGAAATGCCAAATCCAGCTCCCTCTGGAGCCAGGAGGAACCTCGAGGAATTGGAATCCAGCAGCGGAGCCGCCCCAGGTGATCCCAGGATCTCCTGTCCCACCTTCCTCAGGATTCCTAATTTTGCTTGGCTAAGATCCAGCTGGTTTTGAGAGCCACCCCCCCCCCAACATCCCACTGATTTTTTTTCCCTGTGCCAGCACTTTCCACGGAAAGGATACATATTCCAGAATACTGTTTGTGTACGGATTCATGGTCCTGGACAGCGTGGCAATAGGGTAGGAATAAGCTGCAGGAGAGGGGAATAAAAAGAGGGATAAATCATCCAGTGGCTGCACACCAACAGCTGGGATACAACAGGGATTTATTGGAGTTCTACAGCCTTGGGAACCCAGGGAATAAGGGATTAATATCAGCTCAGTCCCAGCTGGATTGGATGTCCCAAAGACATCCCACCAGGCAGAGCTGGATGTCCCAGCCCAGCTGGCTGTGGAATTGTGTCCCCTCACCTCCCACGATGTGACACTGGTCGTAGGCGTCCCGATCCCGCACGTCCAGGAGCAGGAAGGGACAGTCTGGATAGGGCAGGTCCTTGGCCTGGGTGTCCTCCTTCTTCGGAGAGTCCTTCTCGATGTCCATCTCCCCGACCCCGCTGATCACGCTGGGAAAGGGAAGGGCAGGGGGAGGTGGGAGCTGGGAAAGCTCATTCCCAACACTTTGGGGCCTCTCTCCAGCAGCTCCGAGTGCTTGGGAAGAGCTGGGATAAAGCATCATTCCGGGATCCCTGAGCTTGGCAGGGATATGGGGATTTGGGAATTGGACTCATTCTCAAGGATTCCAGGATGGTTTGGGTTGGAAGGGACCTTAAAAGATCATCCATGGGCAGGGACACTTTCCACTAGCCCAGGTTGCTCCAGCCTGGCCTTGGACACTTCCAGGGATCCAGGGGCAGCCACAGCTTCTCTGGGAGATTCATTCCAGCCCCTCCCCACCCTCCCAGCCAGCAATTCCTTCCCAACATCCCATCTAACCCTCTGGCAGTAGGAAACCATTCCCCCTTGTCCTGCCATTCCATATCCTCGTGAGAAGATCCTCAAAAATGAAGATCCCTGGGAAAGCCCAGGGGCTGAGCTCTGTGTTCTAATCCCACACACATCCTGGAACGTGGGGGCCTGGATGGAATCCCACCAACACATTCCCTCCTCAGCCATCTAAACCATCACCGGGTGGCAACAGGGCTGGATTCCACCCTCAACCCAAGCAGGAAAACCTGGCAGACCTTACTCTCTTACACTTCCAGGTGTTAAAATCCAGGTTTTAACAAGAAAAAACGGGATAAAGCCACTTGGCAGGAATTTCAAGAGCTGGGTGAATTAACCTAAGCCAAGGAAACCGTGGGTTGGGGAGGCACCTCTGGAGCGTGGAACGCTGGGATTCCCCAGGGGCTGTGCTGTTCAGGAACAGGACTGGATTGGGGGCCTCCTCGGGGCTCCCCTTCCCGTTCGTCCCCGCGGCCACCTCGGCATCTTCACCTGGAGCAGCAGCACCTGGGGACAGAGCAGGGCACGGGCACTTAAAGAGCTGCAGGGAGTCCACAAGCAGGTTTTAAGCCCAGTTTCTAATCTTGGACTAAAGTGTGACAGCCTCGGGCTCATCCTCTTACGGGGATCATTCCCCCAGGGCCCCACGGTCTAAATAAAGGGCCAGAGAAAGGGCCTCAGAGTTATTCACAATGATAAAGAGCCCCCAAAGATATAAAAAACAGCCCCCAAAATATAAAAAACAGCACCCAAAATATAAAAGAGCCGCCAAAATATAAAGAAGAGCCCCCAA